GACTCCCGACGCGTCTGCCTTTGCACTGATCCCCGGGCGGCCAGCTTACCCTGTTCTCGGTCGTAAGCTACCCGAAGCAACTGCATTTGAGTTAGTCCCTAATGCGATTCCCATTGAGCCAAACGCCGGCCCGCCAGATTCCGGCCCGGTCCCCAGCGTCAGAGCCGCTTTGAAGTTCTCAACATCAAGGATGGTCGCTCGGGATGGCCGGGAGCCCATGGACTCGCAACCGCTGGCGGGGGTGGGAACAGCCTAGCTAAACGAGAAACCGACAGTGCTCACCACAGCTGTGAGTAGAATCGAAGCTTCACCCAACTCTTTTGAAGCTCGTATGATTGTGAATGTACTAGGTACCCCAGTGGCCGCTCTTTTAGATACTGGTGCAAGCATATCGCTTATTGGAGATGCTATATTTCCGGAATGTAACAAGAACAATATACATCTCCGGTCAGCAAACATGAAATCGCAGGTAGCATCGCGGTCCGTAGTGCCTGCTACCGGCGCAGTCAGGTTATGAATTTCCTTTCATGGCAGAAAACGAAGACGTTTCGTGTACCCCTCTGGACTACCAGTGCCCATGATCCTTGGTAAGGATTTTATTGCAGTGGAGTGGGTTTTACTAGACTTCGCCTAAGCTGGATATTGGTTGGGAGGCGAAACAGAATTAACGGCGTTTACAAGACGGCAGGATTGCATTCGCGGCCAAGCTTCTCCTTTAAACTTTGCCGGACAGATGCATTTACTTCTAGACAGATGCTCAAGGCCGTGCAAAGGTTTTGCTGTGAAAACAACCAGAAGCAGCTCCAGCACCTGCTGGAACCCTTCTCGCCGATGTTCACGTAAAGACCGGGGAAAACGGGTTCAAGGATGCTCCCCCCCCCCCCCCCCCCCCCCCCCCCCCCCGGAGGTGCAATCCGAGACCCATAAGTGCTCACAAGCGCGAACTTTTGATGTGGCGCTCTCGGAAATGATCGACACAGGCGCAGCAAGAAGGACGGCACAGCAGGGCTTTGTGTTGATTGCAGGCAACTAAATGAAGTGTCAGTCACAGACATTTACCCATTTCCTAGTATTTCCTCAGTAATGTATGCCCTTGCAAACGCGACCGTTTTCACAACCATCGATTGCAGCCACAGATTTCCTCAAAACGAATTTCATCCGGCTGATGTAAAGAAGACCGCATTCATTTGCCAAAGGGGATTGTTCGAATTCACCCGCCTTCCCTTTGGTTTGTCCACCACTCCCGGCAGCTTTCAACGCCTAATGGACGTTGTCCTTGATGGCGCGAAGTACGAGTTTGCGATGGCGACCATGGGTGACGTAGTGGTGTTTTCACGAATTGATCATAGCCACACGCTCTGGTTGGCAAACCACAAAATATGCGCTGAGTTCCAAACATTATTATGGTTCGGCTATTCTTGAGGTCGTCATTGCAGCGACTGGACACGCGCCACTACCCGAATGCTTGTCGAGCTATTGATTATCACAAGCCCAAATCGATTTCTCATGCAGATTAAAAGAAAACGCTCGCGTTTGTCCTTAAAATTAGACCCCCAAAAAAGAGTTTCTTGGTCATTGGCGTTGCGTGCGAGTCTGCTTGGGTCCCAATAGTGACACTAAGCTTGTGTAAAGTGAAAAACATCCCTAGCGAACATCGTTCCACAACCCCTTAAATTAAAGGGCGGTGCTGCAATTTTTGTACTTTAAATAAATACCGCTTAGGATTAGTTCATGACGTTCATAAAATACAAATCACGCGTTCGTCTTTCTTTTTTTACGCAATCGCAGTTGTATTTTATATTACGGAAAAGCGAGCAGCCTTCAAGCCATCAACTCGCCGCCAGAACAAGAGGCAATGCGATCAGGTGCCGATTATATGCCGGCAACGTTCATGATAGCCCCTCGCCAGGGTTGGCACAGCGTAGGGTGCGCGCTAACTTTCAGACATCGTTAGGGTTGGAATATTACCGTCATTAAAGCCATTTCACCATCCGGATGCTCGTCGAGGCATTGATTAAATTGGACTATTCGGATGCTATTCCTGCTATTGAAGCCAGTATCCGGATGCTCGTTGAGCCATTTATTGTCACGAGCCGAAGCTGAGTGTTCATGCAGTGCTCGAATGCAATCTATGAACTACAGTTGAATATCATTACCACGGGTATCGCACGTCAACAATGAAACTCATGACTACACCTTCAAGCTTTGCGAAGAAGACTGAAAGAGAAATTCTGCTTTTATCCTCGAAATTACATCCCGATCAAAAAGCTGCATGATCAGTGGCGTCGCGTACAAGCATGCGTGGGTCCCGCTAGTGCCAGTAAGCGCGAGTTAAGCGACAAACATTCCAATCCAACATCATGGAATGAAGATTTTATATCAGAGATATTAACACTTCTTTAAATTTACAGCAAGTCGCCGCAAAATCACATTCGCTACCATACACAATATTTATCCTCCTTCAATTAACAAACTAAGTTTAATGTTTGTTTAATACCTTCCTACTTAACATTATCGGCGTACTTGTATCAACACATTGCGAAGACGAAGACGAGTTAATCAAACACCTTGATTTTAATTCCGGCCGTATCAGGCAACTTTTCGCAGTGAAACTGACCAAAGAAGATTCAAATTATATGTGGTTTTGTTCCATTGGCATGGACGTTTGAAGAAGTTTAACAACGTTGTGTTTCGGGTGATTGGTAGCCGATTGAGTTTGCGCAACGGAACTTAGAGCGAACGTTCAGGCTCCAGATCCTAGGGATTCAGGGTTCAATTCCCAGCCCTGTCATTTTCGATCTGGATGAGCATTCTACCGGCGTGCTGTCCTGTAATTCTACTGCGGGGTGCACGTTAGAAGCGCCAGGCTAGCAGTAGTACTGCAATTGCAGGATTTCTCATCAGGAGACACTACACGCCCTAAGAGGCTCGCCAACTTCCTAAATAAAGCACACAACACAATTACAAGGGTTAGGTGGGGTATTTTTCACATTTTAGTTCGGTAGCAGAATTCAAACGATCGTCATCCTCGCCCGAAGAGGAGCGATTCCGTGTTAGCACATAACATTTCTAAATAGCTTCGCCAATTGACACACAGCTCTCTTCGGATGTCTCATTTAAAACAAAACAAATTTGCTGTTTGTGTGAAGAGTAGAATACTCCTCTTTTTCTGATATAATAAATTGGGCTCACTAATCCTTCAAAGCACTATGCTGAACATGAGACCTCACGCGAGAATAAAAGCGTACGCACAACTGAACAAAAACGAGGCCGCTAAAGGACCTTCGCGCGGGATAGACATCCGGCCGTCTGCAAGGTAGGCTGACAGAAATCGGAAGTGACCGTTAACTTTTATAAGCATTCGCCGCTTTGAGGCTCCGGTCTGCCTCAACTCCAGCACGGTTGATGCATCTTTAACTGTACTTTGTGCAGAAGCTCTTGCCTCCGTCTGTCTGAATGGTGGCCCGAGTAAGGTGGTACATCACGAGTTTGGAAAAGTGCGAAAAACTATGGTTTCACTAGATGAACTAAGTACACATTGAGTATTCTTTGAGCGTATCGTTTTTTAACAAGGGTAGAAATGTTTTTTTTTTTTTTTAATTCATGGCAGGCAGTGCTCAGGGTCGTCTCTGAGATGCCAACCTCCCTTCAAAAAGGGAGCACACTCGTTGCATCCGGACACAATGCGCCAAGGCCCGTTCCTCCTTCGACCCGAGCCAGGGCACTGCATGGGCCGGAATTTCTAGACCCGGACCGACCCGGCCCTGTAGATGCACGGCCCGGGCCCGGCCTGAACCCGTCAGAATATTTAATTTCTAGGCCCGGCCCGACTCGGCCGGGAGGAGACACTGCCAGGCCCGGCCAGGGCCCCGAAGAATTTCTAGGCAGACGCTTGAGCCCGACCCGTGCTTGGCAAAATTTTATATATATAAGCCTCAGCCCGACATATTATATACATGAGCCCGAAAAAGTTTGCAGACTTTGACCTAGAAACATTCTAGGCATAAAGCGAACATATTTTAATTAAATTTCTTTTATACTTAAACCGAGCTTTCTTTTTCTTTTTTTTCTCAAGATAAATATTTCGACTTAGACAATGCATTTTCGAGAATATGGGCGAAATATGCGCTCCCTAAGAGATTCTGGGGGAAAAAAGTAGGCATTCTTTTATTTATTGTATGCATTTGTTGAAGAGATACTGGACTTATCGTTGTTCAATGCGTTTCACAGAGAGTTTTCCTCTTTAAATGTTTTTGTGAAGAAACAATTACAATCATGTTAGTGCATCTTCAAAAGGCTGTGTAAGCATAAAATTATCTATGTTAGTTAGATTTTCTTTGGTGGCACAACAAGGCCACCTCCGCAAAGTTCTAATTCAAGCTCACTTTTTTTTTTTTTTTTTTTTTTGAAAAGCGGAAGAGAGATGCACTCATGTTGTACTGTTGGACTGGAGTGCCCTCGTTGTCTTGACCGCACATCCCCACTATGCTGTTGGAATCATATACGTTTCGTTTTATCCATGTGAAAGCGTTCCAAGTGCAAGACGTCTTTTTTTTTTTTTTTTATCGGCACTGTAGTGATTTTGCGTTTCGCTTGTTTGTTTTCCTTGAAACTAAACGATCAATGAGGACACTTTTTGTTATCATCAATTTAGAATATGCGGCAAGCGACTACCTAGCCACGGCCCAGGCCGGCCCGGGCCGGCACGGGCTGGGAATTGTTCTGTTCAAGACAGAGCACGGCCCGAGCCCGAGAAAATTCGCGCTACCCGGCCCGAACCCGGCCCGCGGGCCGGGCCGGGCTCGGGCCTTCTGGCTTGCCCGGGCCCGTGCAGTGCTCTAACCTAAGCCCTGTGCTCCAAAGTCTTCAACGCGCACGACACTCGATTACCGGTTAGAGGAGCGTTCAGAAAAACGCAGTTATGTGCGCAACCCATGCCAGATAAGTTGAATAATAAAACAACCACAAACTGCACACGTGTGTTGCAAGAAAAGCAATACCTGTACAGGACGGTCACTCGTGTTCACCACCTTGAGGATGATCATACGCCGTCCGGCGTTCAACGTCACGTCGCCTTTGCCCGGTATTACTTCACCTGGGGGTGACCTGAGGAGGCTCAGTGCGTCCTCGTCCACGTCCTCAAGGTACGTGGGTAGATTCCTCAACAGGAAGTTACTCTGCAATGGGCAGGCATGACCTTTAATTCATCTACACATTCAGGTAATGAAGAAACGACAGCGTAATTACGCGAGAATTAAAAATATGTTCTCGATCGGTAATTATATGCCCGAACGTGTAAATGACCCCGAACACGTCTCGTTTCCATCATCGCCAACAGAGCCGGAGAGTCGAAAAGCTAAAAAAAAGGATCGTGAGAAGTTCAACACTTAATTTAATATTATTTTTAGAGTAGGTCCGCTCTATTTTTTTTATCACGGATACGCATTTGCTATAGAATATGCGCGAAAGTTACTATACGAAGTTTAATTAGAACATCCGGTGCAAGCAGTTTGTAATGCTTTCCCGGCGGAAGAGCACACAACCGTCAGGCGCTTCGAAACTATGGGCGTAATTTGAGAATCAAAGCGCTGCAGTCGCAGAAAGACAAGTCGGTATTTAGAGCCGCTAATTTGTAGGCGAACAAAGATTTACCTAATTATGACGGGCAGCTAGTTTTTAATACATATAATATATCTCACACGGAAAATTTCGGAAAATATATATCACCTGAGCGAGCCTTATGTCCTTGTTTAACAATACCCCTGCAGATGTTGTAAGAAAGTCGATGAAAAGTTGGAGCGGTGAAAAGTTGGAGCGGTGGCATATAACGTCTCATTAGGGTGGTAGATACCAATATTCTGGAATTCGTCGAAGGATGTTCTAAATATTTGTAACGTGTCATGCCAGATAAGGTGTTAAACTTCTCACATTTTATTATTTTTTAAATCTAACGGATAAATATATTTTGAATATTAGAGCCAGCAGAATTGAAATGTTCAACAAGTATGAATCCAGAACGAAGCTTTCAAGTGATTAAAGTTCTTCGCCGCAAAAGGTATTGTTGAATTTTCCGGCTGCACGTGAATTTATCATTTTCATCTCGCTTGTATATAAATGAGAAAAAAAATTGCTAACTCTTTGCTTTTTTTACAAAGGCGTTCACATGCATATCATTTGTAGGGCATCTTCACGTTCTTTCTGTGCGCACAGTTAGAACACTAGAGAACAAATTGATAAGGATTTGTAGCACATAAACAAGTCACAGTGCGACGTAAGACTGTAACATGAGACAGACCTAGTCACGCACCCTTTTCTATTCCCATGTGAAAGGTATGATCATGTGCAACTCTTTGCTTATTTCTTAATCCCGTTCTATCTGCCGTTTTTCTTTAACGCGACCATGAGAGTGGCTTTGTAGTTCACACATGAAATCTTAGGCAGTTCAATTTGGTTCAACCGCTCGTTGTGCACACGTGCTTGTTGCGCGGTCTGCTGCTTTGTTGCCTGTGATGCCGTAATGACGGGAGACTCAACAAAAGAAAACCTCACATGTGCGTCTAGAGGCACGAAGAACCTTATTTTAAAGTTGTAGAAGGAGTGGTTTTTTTTACAGGTGCTAGAGAGGACGAAGCACGCTAGGTCCTTAAGGAATCCATATTCACAAAAAAAAAGGGTTGTTTTTTTACCGATAATGTAATCTATTCCCAAAAATAGACTGTACAACTCTGATGTAAAAATTGTAGCAAGAGAGTTGATTCGAACATGTTGAAGCAACCCGAGACTGAAGAATAGGAACGTTGACTTTCTCTTCTGTTGGTATCAAAGTTCGTATTCCTAAGTCTCGGGTTGCTTCGAAATGTTCAGTACACGCCAGATCATTTGCGTTCTTACATTCTGTTTGTTAAAGTGGAACCCATCAAACCCCTTCAGCCCTTTAGACCCTTCAGCCTTTCAGACACCACCAGCCCTTCAACCCTTTAGATCAAAAGATTGTGAACCATAAAACGAAAATGCCCTCTAGAACGTTATTGGAAATTTATTACACACCTTGAGCTTTCCATGTATCTTATAACATAAAAAGACAATAAGAACAAACGTTTACCGAAACTCGAGCGCAAGCAGCTGTAGACAAATGCTATGAGACCAAATTGGAACAACCGAGTTCTTTGTTGCAAAAGATACATTCCCAGATACTCACACTGCCGCTGGGTAAACAGCTGGGTTCAACTAACAAAACCGAGCAGTTCCACCAAACGTACACATTGCTTGCGATAACGAGAGAATGACGTAGAAGAGAAGCAAGCGACAAGCGCTTTTGATTTGCAAACAAACGTTTACTGCTTTCACTTTGCCTCCCCAGAAAACGTTTTGTTGCAAGTCGAAAGCCTGTGTCATCTGTTAGTTTTCCATGTCCCTTATTCGTTATTGTAAATTAGACACCAGCATGCTCAACCATCCCCAGAATACACACTGTCAGTGGAACGTCTAGCGAAAACCATGAACGCCCAACCAACATCCGCCGCCGTTGAGAAATACTGAGTACAAACACGGTGTCGTTCATGGTGCCCTCGCGGTGGTGTCTCCAGCGCCTTTTTCGCTCGCTGTACGCTTCTGAAGCCTTACGGACGAAGAGGCGCATGAAGCAGGGCACTGAGAGACCACCTCTATCCGTACACTGAGCTGCTCTAGAAGATAGGTTCTATGCATCGGACGGGAAACCGACACTGAGCGTCCGTTCGTTATTGCGCGGTCAGTTTACGCTTCTTGGTGGAGAAAAAAATAGGGCGACCAACTTCTCACGAAGGTTGTATTTTAACTCACTAAAATAGGTTATCTTGAAGCAAACAGCAAAAAGTCCCCCTCCCATTTTCTCCACGCACCCTCTTTCCCTCGTGAGCGAGGACGTAGCGTCATTGGGCGTCCCTAGTACAGCCCGTGAAACACATACACAGGAACACACACACACACAGCTACGGGGCCGGGTTAACCAAGGCTACGACAGGAGGGACGGCGGAACGTCTCAAGTTCCAACACTCATGGCGGCCACCCGATACGGAATTGCCAAGCGGGTTCCCGGACACATATATCTTGAAGGGTCACGTTATCTTCCCTACAGACCCGTGCAGATAGTTTTGATGGGTGCCATGGTTTTACCCCAATTGAAAAAAAAACAACTTCCAGCCCCGATGTGTTATGGGACCGCAATATGTCTTCAAGACTTCATCCTTTTACACCATCAGTCTCCACTTCAGACTTCATTCTTTAGCAATTAAGACTTCAGCACTTCAGACTTCACCCTTTCAGCCTACTAAACCCTTAGCCAACATACCTTTAATGCCAGCCGTACAGCTTTTTATATAGCCGCGACAGACCAAAATGTCTGTTAATCGTTTGCTCAAACCTGGGCGCAAGCAGATATAGACAAAAGCGATCCTACCAAATAGAAACAACCGCGTTCTTTGTTGCAACATTTATATTTCGAGTCGCTCAAAATGCCACTGAGTAAATTCCTGAGATGTAAGTCGCCGCGGGAGTTAATACCTCCACGCGAGCGCGCGTTTTGTTCCGAGAGTCGCTTGTCTTGTGGCTTGCGATAGAACTAGAGATGACGTCAGGGCGAGTGAATGCGGAGTGGGCGGGAAAAGCCGTCTCAATTTAAGGGAACCGTTGTTATCATCCACCTCCTCGCCTGCGGGTGAGCGTAGTTCGAATGAAACAGGGAGATGATTTTGCAGAAGTCAACATCGCCGAGCACAAATGCATTCGGTGACTTGGAAGTTCATGGTTAGACAAATTCGAGATACACTGCTACTCCCAGGAATTAAGCCGAACAAGCTACGAGACTTCCGAGTGACACTTGGAATATCGCGATCTGCTCATGACTGCGATCGTGATCAAAGAAGGTTTACACCCGTGAATTGTTTTTAATAAACTCAACCATGATCTCTTCCGTCCCATTTATCAATAAACTGTGCGAACATTTTTGGTTTGTGGAGCTAAAAAAAGCATTGACAATTATGATGATCCTAGAATTCGCCAGCACCGCTCTCGACGATTTTCTGAACTTAAGGAATTATAATTTTCTTGGCCTCCCACCAGGTGGCGCAAAAAATCATGAAAAGTTATTTTCTTGATTCTTAGATTATGTAAGTTCAATCTAAATCAATAAAACCGGGTGCCGATCACGAGGGAAGTCTAATATATTGCAATATATGCCTATTTATTACAACCCGTTTTATTAAATGTAATTCATTTTATATATTCTTGAAGCAGATGAGACAAGAACAGTAAAGTTTGGTAGGCTTTGAGATTTAAAATCAAATTCTTTATTTTTATTCAAAAATTAAGAGGGGAGGCAGCTTAAAAATCAACTAAGCCGTTGATTAACCATTCGTCTGCCTCCCTCAACAACACCAGCAACATCGTATCAGAAAAATAAGGAAACACATTTAGAAGAAATAGATACAAATATATTTTAAAAACAAATTAGCATAGAATAGTAACAGACTGTTCCTTCAGTTTGCATGCAAGTATTTTCAACGCTGACAGATCCCTAGATAAATAGCGTGTGCATAATTACACACGTAAAATGTAATAATAATAATAATAATAATAATAAATATTTATTTTCAAGTGCCCAAAAACAACCAACAGGTCTTTTCTTTGGTACACATAATAAATGAGGAATTAAAATAACAGAGACATGGCAAAAATGCACAAACGTTACAAATTGGCAACAAGTACTTTCATTTTCATCGCGAACACCCGAGAGTCGCTAAATATATCTACTTCAGCATTGTTGATGCGGTTAAAAAGCAGATGGCAGCGTGATAAAGGCGAGAGATCACAGACAGTATTAATGTAAAAAGTACAATGATTTCTTGTGGGTCGGGAGGGAACATGTAAATTAACACCACTTAAAAGCGAGCCACAATCAGATACACCGTTTACTAACTAATGAAAAAAGACTAAGTCACGTTCCGCTCTTCTATCGGACAAGTTTGTCAACGAAACTTTTTTAAGAAGAAATTCATATTCAAAATAGAAGCGACGATGAGAGTATCGATCATACACAGTGCGTATTAACCTCTTCTGTACATTTTCAATGTTCAATGCCTGAGTTTTATTTAACGCATTCCAAGCTACTGAAGCAAATTCAAGTCTAGACCTGACTAGG